CAACTTTCCCAGGACCGTCTTGTCAGATCCTGTCTGCTTCCCTCCCTCCAAGGTAGGCCAATGGTCCTTCATCTGCTAGGGGATCTCTTAGTCTTGGGGTGAGCTCTTCAATACATTGAGCTGACTCCCCTCATGGGTGCTGTTGAAGCATAAAACCCATAACTCATTTCATTCCAGGCCCAAGTCTAGGAATGCAGGAGACTTGGCAGAAACCCCAAACTCCTCTCACATATTCCCGCCAAAGGGCAGGAGAAGGAAGCTCCGATCGCATCTGCTTCCTTGTCTCAAAATCTGGATGATAATACACACCTCACTACAGATCAGGTGTGTGATATGAAGAATATGAAAAGCGATCCGTAATCTATGGTCTTCTACCAACATTATTGTGACCACGCTGATTCTCACATCGTTATTTATTAAGAAAGGGAGAGCTAGAGGTGACACCATGTGAGCACTGTTTCCTCTGTATATTATAGGATGGGGGGATTCGGATCAGGGGAAGCGGGCCAGACAGGGGCCCTATCTGGGTCCACCCTCAAATTGCATGGCCTCAGGCAAAACTCTGAAACCCTAAAATAGGCATAATAAAAGTCCTCGCTGGCTCCTTGGCAGCTGTGAACAGAGCTTCCTCCCTTAGAAGCTGTGTGGCTCTGGGTTAGTAGCTTCACACCTCTGAGCTTTAGATGTCTCATCTGTGTTGTGGACATACCCATGCCTGCTGCCTACATAGATTAACTGAGATAAATGTATGTCAAGTACTTGGCACAGAAGCTGGAGCAGAGGAAGCATTCAGGAACCACCAAGTAGCTGGTAGAGGTGGTATTTCCAGGTAAATCTTGAGAACATACCTGGGTCCCTCGGCTTCAGCCCCTGGACGCCCATGGTGGCCACCAAGCTCTGGTTGGCCTGTTGGGGAGCAGGCCACTCCCCTGTGAGAATTCTCTGACTTACCTGGGACAGGCACATGTTTCCCTGCAGGGGAGAAGTGTGACAGTCTCCGGTGTAGCCACGTGTGGAATAACCTGCAGGTGAAGTGTTACTACTTCGTGTCCCACGGGGAGGAAACCTGGAAACCGCAGGTTCCTCTGACATCCAGCCACCCCGAGGATGGCCGGGATTGCAGACATGCCGTCTCAATCTTCTGAGACTGGAGAATGCCTACTTCTCCCTCGATTAAGGGATGTAGCCAGGACCCGGGACCATGGGTAGATTTCTGAACTTGCAGGGGCCTCGGCTGCTAAATACATGATGGTGCTAAAGTAAATTCTTTCTGAAAAGACGGCGTGGTTTGTATTTCATGGAGGAAGATTCCAAAGGCAGTTCCAGAAGAGGAATTGGGAAGGTTGAGCTATTGCAATATGGTTGTTAGAGCATGTGGCCTATGGTCTCCCTAGAGAACTATTTTGAAGGATTTTCTTGTTTGTTTTGTTAAAAACTCACCTCATCCCTTTATTGTTGCAGTGTCTCCACGGAGAGTGTGAGATTTTGATGGCGGATAATGGCTCTGGGAGGGCTATGCTGCCTGACTACACCCAGTGTGAGGAGGTAGGGTTTGGCCTAGAGGGATTTTCAGTGACATTAGCGTGTGCCCATCCCCAGCACGATATTGTCATGGGGTGCGATCTTCAGAGGCAAGTGATGGAACAAGCACCTCACTTTTCTCTGCAGCTTATCTGTGCTCAAAGATCCCAAGACATGGGGAGGCCAGGGCCTTCATCTGAAGAGCCCAGATAAACTCCAGAAGATAACAGACATCGAACTTACGTGGGTGCTGTTTGATCTACGGGTGTTTTCAAAGCCCATTCAGGCTATGATTGTGTAGAGAAAGACCTTGTATAAATGTGTACATGCACGTGAGTATTTTGATTATTAAATCACTCCACCTGTAGGTATTCGAATGGGATGTGTGCCATTTTCACATTGAAATACAACCTCAAATCACTTTTGCCACATCTTATTTGAATCAAGAAGACTCAAACATTAGATAGAATTACTCACCCATCTAGTCCCAGTACTCTATCATTTGCAAAGAATTTCATGGACGTTTTGTTATTCGAAAACGGTAAATACAAAACTTCTGCCCAAATTTCAAATGAGGAGCCTGAGGCTCAGGGAGGCCGACCAGCATGGCCTGTTTAGGACTAGAACCCAGGAGCTCTGATTCCTCATCGGAGTTTTTCCATGACCACGCATTGCCTGTCAGAGGGGATGATTTTGCTAAAGGATCTCTTGGGTCCCTTTTTTGTCTAAGATTTTGTGACTGAGGGTCAGGGGACAGCAGGCAAATGCTTGTTGTGGAGACGGGATCCACGGGCACTCTTCATGGCTCTCAGACCCTCGCTCCCTCCTTTACTTCTGCTGCCCAGGTCATGGGGGAGGGAGCCACTAAACTCCCAGAGAATGAGGGAGTGACAGCCTCAGTTGTGAGGCTATGTAACAGCACAGGGGCAGCCGGGCTTGGTCCTACTTCCTAGCCAGTCAGGAGAGAAGAGTTGAGGATGTAGGCTTCAGGCTGTGACGAGAATGTGGCAATGGGCAGAGTGGGGTGTCCAGAGTTCCGTGGTGGCCCCACGTTCCGCCCGGGGATCAGAAAGGACAGCAGTGGCATGGAAGAAGATCTGTGTTTGAGGCTTGCATTAAGTGACTTACCCTCCCTCTAATTCATATTGCTTGTGCTTGGTTGTCACTAAAAGGTATAAATACGAGGAGGAGGCAGGACTGCCTTGAGGATTTCGAAGTCCAGCAGGAGATATAGACACATACTGAACAGTGGCAGTCCAGGGACAGGTGCCATAATAGGGAGGCACCAAAGAGCCTGAGGGGCACAGAGCTACAGCCGTTGACCTTCCGGGCAGGGCACAGGGGAGAGGGCCAGGGAAGGTTACGAGTGGAGGGGACATTTGGGCCCATTTGAGTTTGGGGAGGGAAGGCCTCTGTCATCCTATTTACTCACTGAGTCATCTCAGGAGAAGAAGTTCCGAGAGGTACAGGGGGGATAATTACACTCGTCTCAGAAAAAGGAGCTACAGGGGAGTATAAATACTTGCCAAGTATAAAATACCAGACTGTTGTTGGACCCAGCCTGCCCTCTCTGCTCCAGCTGGCTCCCCGGCGCCTCAAACCACCACCAGCCCCTCCTCCAGTCAGTGGAGGGTTCACGCTCCCAGCGCCAGTTCCACCAAGAGAAGAGGCTTACCAACGTCCTGGATCTGCCTGAACTTCCTGCTAGCTGCCCCTGACCATGCACTGGAGGCTTCTCAGAGCAAGGAAAAGGCAGGCAAATCCCCAAGTTGAAAACAGATCTGGAATCCAGGAGCAGAGTGGAGTGAAGGCAACCACTGCTTTCTATTTGTATGTGTGCTTACTATCCTATCTGCGTCTCTTCTATAAGCCCCCAGGGAGGCAGTCCACGGAGAACTGGGAGTGGCAGAGCTGGCTCAGAACCCACGGATCCTCCTCCGAGCCTTCCGTGTTTCTGCAGGCCTGAGCTGGCTCCGACAGCTGAAGGTGCTCAGCGCTGGGCCACAGTTGGCGTCAAAACTCCAGAAGACAGGCAGCAGCAGGAAGCAGTCAGACTCAGCTTTCAGGATCCACAGCTCTGCTGATGGCCTGGCCCTCCTCCCAAATAAGAAGAGAAGCACAGTGATGCCTTAATAAATATCCTGGTTGATTCAGTCTGGATTCAATTCAATTCATTTCCATAAATTTATATTAGTACACCATGCAGGGCAGAAATGAATGAGGCATTATAATTTAATTAATGCCAAGAAAAGCAGGCTAGAGGTGTCAAGTTATTCAGTCTCCCTTTCTTCTCAATTCCGCTTTTATTCCCAGCTGCTGCTCTCTTAGCCACGGGCCCAGCTTCACAATCCTTTACCATAACTGAGTTTGCAGGCATTGAAGGTGGCGGCGCGCCCTCTGGTGGTAAGTATTGGTATTGACAGCTGCCTGCCTTTCCAAGGTCATTTCCGGTTTTGAAAAGTGGTCAGCCATTTGTGGCTTCACATGGTCTTAGAACCATACTAGAGCTTTTTAGGACCAATTTCCACCAGATAATTTAAAAAATAAGGAAATGGATGCTATGGAGATGAAGTAACTTGCCCAATATATCAGAGAGGCAGAGCAAGAAACTGAATCCAGGTCCCTGGGCACATTCAGGTCTCTGTGGGTCCCTGTGGGCTTCCTCCCTGCACCTCATAGAGGTGATTGTCACAGGATACAGCAAGGGATCAGTCAACTCCAGTGCTGGCCACTGATAGCAGCCTGGACGTTCCCCCTATCCCGCTTCATTCCTTTCCCTTCATATTTGCCTCCCCTGGGCTCAGCAAACACTGCAGAGCCTCTTTTGTGCCAGACCACACTGTGACTGCCTATTTTCTACCATTTCTGACTGGGGTATGCAAATGCTCCTTTCAGAGAAACTTCCCATTTTCCTCGAGGAAGACCAGACCAGGCCCAATTTCGACTAGAAACTGTTTCCATTAGAAAAATGTTAACAGTGTAGTTTAGGGCCTTGTGCATGTCCCCTCCTGGCCAGTTCTGGACTCTGCTGTGGGTTCCTAACAGGCTCTCACCTGATCATGCCAGGGAGGACGGAGGCGGGAGGGGTCTCTCTCCTAGCTTCACGTGATGGAGAACCCACCTAGGATCACTGATGATGTACTGATTCTACACCCACATGGTAGGCTGCGATGGGGTCTTTGATGTCTAGACCAGCAACCTTTGAAGCCTGGTTTCTGGCCCACCCTCATCTGTGAGTAGGTAAGAGATACTCCCTGGAATAGGGAAAGGAGGTAGAATGTTACAAAATTCTGAGACTCTTTAAAAAAACAGACAGAAGGAAAAGTAAGTAAGCTTTTAAGAAAGCTCTTTCATCAGACCTCCACCCTTGGTGCTGGATTCGTTCAACAAGTGTTTATTGAGCACCTTCTACAAGCCACACATTATTCTAAGCCCTTGGGACACTTCAGGATCCCTCCCGCCTTCTGGAAGCTTACATTTTAGGTTCCAGATTCACTGTTTGTCTCTGGTTTATCATTCTTTTCTCCCGTTGCATTGGGTACACAGCACCTATTCCAGGGATCGGAGCAGATTTCGCCCTTTTTCTCACCAGAACGGCAGAAGAAAAGTCTGCAGGTTCCATGTTGCATAAGGCAGATAATATTTCTAATTCCAGGTGGAATATCTCCTATTGATACAATAGAATAGAGTGGATGTTTAATTCACAGAGCTTGGAGTCAAAAGGATAACCCCAGCCCACAGCCCAACTCCAAATGTTTGCCATACTCTTACAAAGTTATGAATCTTTGGGCAAGTTCCAGTGTAACTCATCTTCAGTTTCTTAGCTTTAAAACAGAAACAACAGTCTCCACCTCAAAATTTTGCCAAGAGGATGTATATTTTATTCTATATTTTTATATTATAACAGGGTTCTCAAGCTTCCTAGTGATAGACTTGAGTTAATGCACTAGGGGAAAGTGAAGGGAATTGTGGGGGACAGAGTGGAATGATGGAGGGGTGGGTCCTTGTCTCTAGAAAAATTGGAAATACTTGTGATTCTCAGCTTGTGGCCCAATTTTCAGTTTTATATCCTGCAATGAAAAGAAGAAAATAAAATCTTTCTTTTCAGCATGACTTGTGGACTTGTGGGTCAAGTACAACCACCTAATGATCCCATAAGGAAAGCATTTCTATTTGTCACAAGAAAAAAAATGTAACTATGTTTGGTGATAGGTGTTAATTAGATATATTGTGGTGATCATTTTGCAATATATACAAATATACAATCATTATGTTGTACACCTGAAACTAATATGATGCTATATGCCAATTAAATCTCAACTAAAAAAAGAAAGCATTTTCTATTTTGGAATGAGATGGTTGAAAGAAAGGTCATATGTCAAGTCTGCAAATGCCATTTACCGTGACTGAAAAACAAACAAAATAACCACACAAAACGCCACACTGTTGGTCTTGCATGATTTGAAAAACAACCTTGCACAACAGCTCAGCAACAAGTGGAACCTACGCCATGATCCCATACCGTTTCAGCTCTGTTGTGGCTTGGAGGGGACAGTGAAGTGAAGAGATGGGCTCCCCATCTAGTGGAGGTGGCAGAACCACAAACCTAGGGATCTGCAGACTGAGTCCTAGTTTTACTTCTTCCAAGACCTAATTATTTCTCCTTGGACAATTCATTTAACTGGTGATTCCTCAGTTTCTCATCTGTAGCACACAAGCTATGTGTGAAAGCTGGAGTAATACTATTCTAAGTGTGGATAGCTACTATGACGGTAATTATTAATTGCATAGCAGTGTGTACTTGCTTCCTCGGGAGCTTAGTTTCTTCTCCCTGTAGAGTATGGGGCTGCCATAGAAAACCCCTACACCCTTCCAGCTCTGACATTTGTCGAAATGACAAATGCTATCATTTCCTTTTGAAAACTTTTTTCAGACTGCAGTGAGTTCTTCCTATTTCTATCGGAGCAAATCTGCCCCTCTGTCTTGTGTTATCACCCTGATAACTCATATTTAGCTTTTAAAAACTCTTCACAGGGGAGATTAAAATGGTCCAGAGCTGAGACCCAGAGCTGAGGTCACCTGCACCCACTAACAACACACAGACACACTCCCACCCCCACACACAGACACACACATCAGTGGAATTTCTGGCTCTCCCAGTCTCTCCCAGTTCATCTTGACTATCTGAGAGCAGCTTTCCACAGTGGCCAAGAGACATTTACCTGAGTTCATTTGGACCAAACAGAAGAGAATGGCGAAAAGAAAGAGAACCTTCATGTTTTAAGGTTCTCTCGGATCTCCCAGCCCTCCTGTGCTGAAAAGCAAATCTGATCAAAGAGTGAAGTGGAGTGGAGAGGGCACGCAAAATGGGACATTTATAGTTTTTTGGGAACACTAATCAGAGATGAGCACATTTATCTGGTCTACTGAGTAAGGCTGTGGGCAGAAGGTACTGGATACTCTTTATTTCTGCCTAAAAATAGACAGGCTTCTTGGTATTCAGAGAAGCAAGGCTTGATCAATAACTCAGCATAACAAGGTTGAAGTGGAAAGAGATCCAACAGGGGTGAATGGATACTTAGCACCAGGTGCTGTGTTAGTTGATAGAGATAGAGATGTGCAAAGACATGTTCCCTGCCTTCAAAGAGCTTTTTGGCTGGGCAGTGTCCACCAAAGTTGGACACCTGGATACACGCCCAGGTGATACCCAACAGACGTAGGCCCACGGGGACCGAGAGACATGTACAAGAATGTTCATTGTAGCATCACTCATTACAGGCATCAACAGAACCCAACCCAAATAGTGTATTAAAACATAGTGATGAAACAAATAATGTATTTCCCCATGGCAAGGAAAACAAAAAAACTCTCAACTGCAGGTGCATACAACACGGATGTACCTCATAAACATCATGGACAAAAAAAAAGAGAGAAAAACGATGGATACAACATACAGTATTATATTAAAAATTTGGCAAGTCTAATCTACTATTGAAAGTCAAGAAATTGTCTACTTTGGGGAAAGAGTGACTCTTCTCTCACTCAACAAAGTTTTGTTGACTTGAGGGGGTGGCGGTCCAGGGGAGACACAGGGAGCCCGACCAGGGTGCTGTGCTGGGAGAGCTCTGGAGGGCGCTGTGGGTGCAGGATGGAGAGCCACCTGGGGGGGGGACAAAAGGCAAGTCTTCATAAGGGGGTGGCACTACAGCAGGGTGTGGAAGGACGGCTTTCCATGCAGGTTTACACAATACTGAGGCTAAAATGCCCAGGGGACATGGCTACAGGTTTTTGCCCTGCTTCATTTTAGTCCTAGCATCATTAGATTTATTTCTTCTAAAATTTGCTTTGAAGTGAAAAGCAAATCTTCTTTCCATCCTGTCTCCCAGGCCTTCCTCACAGCTTACTAGTTTCTTATCAGTCCTTCCAGAGGTTTTCTACATATACATAAGGACATAGGAATTTATGCCTCTCTTTTTGTATAAATAACAACAGACTATGCATCTTATTCTGGACTTGCCTTTTTTTTTTAAATATGACACCTCTTGGAGATTTTTTAAATAGGTACATGGAGAGCGTCATCATTTTTTATAACAGCTGCATAATATTTCTTGTAGTTGGTGTCCAGCCTTATTTAAACAGTCTGCAACAAACATATTTGGCCATGAGTCTTACCTAGAAAATGGAATTTAACAAAGAGAAGTCAGGTAGTGGCTCCAGATTTATGGAGGTGAACAAGGGCCCAGGTGAACAATGTGGGCATTCTGAAGAGGTGAGGGCCACGGGTTCATTTTGGAGATTCCAAGTCTAGAAAGATTAAGTAGACAGAGAATCCTAATAAAGGATATCCTGATTCACTGACCTTTCCATACCTTCTAAAAACACCTATGAAAATAGCACTTTGGGAGAAATCATTTGGGGACAAAAAGCAGCTTTTCTCTCTTTGCCAATGAAAGTTCACTCTGTAGGTAACGACGAACTAAGTCATTATAAAATAGATACGAAGATGTGTGTGTATGTGTGAGGGTGAAAGAGTCAATAATAAATCTCTTAAAAATTGAAATTCTTTTTCTATGAAGCATTTGTTGTGAACACATCTCTGAAATCCTCCAATGTAAAAAAAAAAAAGCATACGCAGTTTGACTCAACCCTTGAGAAAACTGGCTTCCACACCAAGAATACATCCTAAGTTTGAGGGTCCCATTGAAGAGTCATAACTCTGAATGCACCTCTGCGGATGGAGAGAGTGTCACATAAGATGCAAGAAATATCATTTGATAAAAGCACTACAGTGCATATATCCAAATGTATGGAGCATTATTTAAAAGTCACCTTGGTAGACTAGACAATAAAAAGTATGTTTTATACTTTGAGTTCATTCTTGCTATCTATACTCGCGTGATTCAGAAAGGGTTTAAGGTAAGTGGTTAGTGTATTTTTTTCTAGCAGTGTGACCACTGATCGATCATTGTGCAATTAAAGTTTGGAAATAGTGTTCTGTATAGTTTTGAAATTTTGTGAGCTATGTTGGAAAATAAGCTCATTTGGGAAAGAAATAAATTAATAGTATCAGGATTTATCACCCACATTTTCCTCCATACCTGAATCTGTTTCCAAGGCACAGACTTGGAATGTAACCACTAAGGAAGAATTTTATAAATAGTTTTGGGGATCAGGCATGCCATTCCAAAGGAAGACCAACTAGAAAATCAAGCCCAGTGAATAGTCTCATTAGTCTGGTCGTAGGTTCATAGGTTTGTATAATTACAGGGTGGAAAGGAACTAAAGCTCAGTTTGTCCCAATACAGAAGGTAATTATTCTGATGTGCATTATACTCAGGAATTGAAGAAACTATAAGGAAAGTTAAAAGATACCCTCGGGTTTGCAAACATTTGATAGCAGTAAAACATTTTAATATATTAAAATAAAACTTTGATATGACAACAACAATTAGACAGTCTCATTAAAAAATGGGCAAAGAACTTGGGTAGATATTTCTATAAAGAAGAAATACAAATTGCCAATAATCACATGAAAAGATGCTCAACATCCTTAGTCATTAGGGAAATGCAACTGAAGTCACAAAGAAATATCAATTCACATGCACATGAATGGCCATAAGAAAACAAAACAATAACAGCAACAGAATGGAAAATAACAAATAATGGTAAGGCTGTGGAGAAATTGGAACCCTCATACATTGCTGATGGGAAAGTAAAGTGGCACAGCCACTGTAGAAATGTTTAGTGGTTCTCGATAAGTTAAACGAGTTATCATATGACCTAGCAAATACATATTTTATTTATTCAAGTAAAAACGTGTACGTGAATGTTCATAGCATCACTATTTACAGTACACTAAAAGTAGAAATACACAGATGTCCATTGACTGATGATTGGGTAAACAAATAGTGGTATAGCCCTATAATGAAGTATTATTCAGTCATAAAAAGGAATGAAGTAGTGATACATGCTATCACATGAATGAACCTTGGAAACATTCTGTCAAGTGAAATAAGCCAGACGCCAAGGGACCACATATTGTACGATTCCATTGTGTGAAATGAGCAAAACTGGCAAATCCAAAGGGATAGAAAGTAGATTACTGGTTGCTGGGGGCCAGGGAGAGGGCAATGGAGAGTGTCTGCTTAATGGACATTTCCGTATGGGACGATGGATAAGTTCTGGAACTAGGTAGTGGTGATGGTTGCACAACATCGTGAAAGTACTTCATGCCACTGAACTTTATGCTTTGAAATTGTTAAAATGGTAAATTTTGTGTTATGTATATTTTACTACAACAAAAAAAGAAAACCTTAAGGATTTTTGAAACCATATATCAGTACAGCAAGGAACCATTAAGGATTGTGTTATTAAAATCCCTCTCATTTTAGAGAAATTGACTCAGCAGAGGACACAAGGATGGTTAATTACAAGTCCAAGAACCAGGTCTTTGAACAGCCTGCAGGTGTTTTAACCAATGTGATCAGTGGTGATGCTAAGGACACATACATAAGCACACACAAACTATTCTACCCCCACCATATAAAATAGAACACTCTGATTTTACTTATGGAATCAAGATAAAATTCTTTCAGTTCCATTTCTGTGTCCACAGGTGGCAATACATGATTCTTAATGCACTTGGGACAAATGCTTTCCTGAGACAATTATTTAGAAATCCGTAAGAGAAGAGGACTGAGTTGAGCCACATTTTCAAACAAAATGAAAAATATTCCACTAATCTTATAAAAATGAGAATCTATCATCATCAGTGCAATAATCTCTAAAAATCTTTATAAACTTTGATATGTTCAGAAGCCAGATACTTCATCTCTTTAGGGGTTTGATTCCTCTATCTGTAGAGTGAAGTGTTGTGATTTTAAATAGCTTAGAGTCTGAAAGTTATGGAATTCTTTGATTCTATCTCTAAAATTCAATGGAACTTAGAAATCAGATGACAATCAAATAGAAAAATCTTTGTTATTTTATAGAATTATTTAATTATAATGTCTTGCTTTTGTGAATTTTTCATAATTAAAAATTGACTTTCACAAGCTTTGTCTCTTCTTCAGCAATTCCATAATCTAGATGGGCCGATTATCATCACTCCAGTTTTAACAGATTAAAAACTGGAAGCTGAGGGAGGTATAAAGTTGCAAGGATTGTACGGCTCTGACTTGCAGAATGGGGGTTTTCGGTTCCTAGTGCAATGTTCTTCATCTCCACATATTTGATCACAATTTTAAATCTGCTTTCCTCTATAATATGTGTTAATCATGCATTGTCATACCTTTGTTACCATAGGCTGTCACTTAACTCCCAGACCCTTAGTACTGGTAGCCAAGCATCTGGGAACTCCTAGGCAAGAGAAACTGTGTCATTAGTTGGTTTATATCAATGTTCTAATCTTCATTAAGGATGTGACCCGGAATCATTATAAAAGACTATACAAAAGGACAAATCCTCACATTGTCTCATTTTTGGTTTTTTTTGAAGAAGAAGATTAGCTCTGAGCTAACATCCATGCCTATCCTCCTCTATTTTATATGTGGGACCCCTACCACAGCATGGCCTGATAAGCGGTACGTAGGTCTGGGCCTAGGATCCGAACCAGCAAACCCTGGGCCACTGAAGCAGAACACATGAACTTAACTGCTGTGCCACTGGGCCAATGCCCCCCACTGCCCCATTTTTAACAAGCTTAACTCAGTTGTCTTTCTATTACTTTAGATCCTGAAAGGAGAATTAACATTTATGTAAAAAACAGGCATTAGGGG